CCGGTCCAAGATATTTAATAACAGCAAACTAAAACTTCCGGTAATGGATACAAATACATTTGCAAACCAAAATTGAAAATTGTTGGAAAAAGTAATTATTGAATCATACTTTCTGTTTGTATTTTTTAGTTGGCTGCAATATCTAGTAACTTAGTTCGTCATTTTTACTTTATCTTTTATTTTAATATGTTGGTAAACCTGTTCTCTTCCCGCGTTTTCTACCTCTTATATACTTTTTATTTTTTTTTTTTTTTGGTTGTTTCCTGTGAAAACTTGCGTATTTCATTTAATTCAAACAGGTTATGGGCCCAGGATCACGGGACATAATAGTGAAATAAGTAGAAAAGAAAGGACGTGTGCTAACCTCATCGCAAAACTTGTCTATAAGTTACATCAGTTACAATTCATCGAAAGACATGGAAAATACCGTTAAGAAGATACACGCGGTTAAGTTGACTTCAGACGAAAGCAATTTTACTGTATGGAAATTCGCGCTAAAAATCATACTTTGCAACAGTGAGCTGATGGAAATAGTGGACGGAACGGTAAAGAAACCAAATTCGCAAGACGATGCGTGACTCAAACGAAAGCGTGACTGACAAAAGATTTAAAGGTGCAAAAATACATTGTCTCGTCGGTAAGTGAGCAAAATATGGCACACTTGATGGTATGCGACACTTCTGCCGAAATGTGGAAACGATTGGAAACGGTCATGGTCATAAGTCAGAAGCGTCAGTAAATACGATGATGCAAAAATTTTACGGATTAAAATATGGCGATTGCATGGCAAAACATATAGCGAAACTCGAAGATCTCGCACATCAATTAAATATTCTTGGAGAGAAAGTTTCAGATACAATGATGGTGAATAAAATATTGTCAACATAGCCGCCTTCCTATGACCATTCTGCTTGGGACTCAACACAGACGAAAACTCTGAAAAATTTAATGAGTAGACTTCTACTGGAAGAAGAGAGGATAAATACCATGGAGAAGAAAACGCTGCGGAAGGAAATGCATTATTTACTAGAGGAATAAATAAAGGAAAGATAACGAGCATATACTTCACTTGCGGGAAAACAGGACACTTTAAAAAATATTGTCGTGCAAAAGGAAGCAATGATACAGAAAGCCAACAAAAACCAAAGTCAAAATTCTGTGTATATTGCAAAAAACACGGACATATAAAGCAAGACTGTAGATTTAAAAAGGCAAGAGAAAAAAAGGCAAAAGAAGAGAAAGCAAAGGATGAAAAATCAACACGACTCTCACTAATAGCAACTCGAGGTCAAGATTTTAAAATGGACACCGATTGGATTCTCGACAGCGGAGCAAGTGATCATATGACTTTTCACGCAGAATGGTATAATCGAGACGAATTTACTGTTTATAAAATTCCACGGAAGATAAAGGTTGGAAATAAGCATTTAATCGATGCGATTGGAGAAGGAAATATAAACGTGGAAGTCTTCGATGGAAGCAAGTGGATTTCAGCCACTCTCAAGAAGGTGCTGTATGTGCCAGAGCTCGCTCACAACGTATTCTCAGAAGGGACCGTTTTGGATAAAGGTTTGACTTATGAAGCAGATCAAACCGAATGTAAGTTCAGCCAGGGAAACATCGTTGTCGCAACGGGTACAAGAATCGGTAAGCTGTATAAAATGAATATTAAGGTAACAGTATCCAACACTTTTCACGGAATAGCTCAAATGGCAATGTCATGGATTGGCATAAACAGTTAGAACACCAAAATATGAAACATGTAAGACAAATTCTTAAAAAGTTTGACATTACCGCAAAAGATAATAAAGATGATTTCTGAAAGATGTCTTCAAGGTAAGCAGCATCGACTCTCATTTCCGTCTAGTTCAAGTAGAAAAGTCACACCAGGAAAATTGCTTCATGTAGATTTAAACAGTCCAATGGAAATTGATTCTATTGGAGGCTCTAACTATTTTATCAATTTCAGAGATGATGCTTCCTCTTATCGAACTGTCTACTTTATGAAGCATAAGAGTGAAACTAAGAACATAATTCAAAAACACATAAAACTAGTGGAGAATGATACCGGAAATCGAATCGGAATACTGAGATCAGATAACGGCACTGAGTTCATCGATAAAGTTGTAAAGAACATTATAGAAGAACATGGAATGCGACATCAATTATCAATTGCGCTTATACGCCAGAGCAGAATGGACGCGCAGAACGTGACAATAGGACTATTGTGGAAAGTGCCAGAAGCATGATTTTGGAAAAGGGTCTCGGCAAAGAA